CTTTTTTTTTTTAACTGAGATAGAGAAAACAATCCAGGGCTGGGAATGTGGCTTAGTGGTAGTGCTTGCCTAACATACATGAACCCCTCCCTATCCCCCCCCGCCCCCCTAGGTTTGATTCCTCAGTACCACATAAACAGAAAAAGCCAGATGCAGAACTGTGGCTCAAACGGTAGAGTCCTAGCCTTGAGCAAAAGAAGCTCAGGAACAGTGCCTAGGCTCTGAGTTCAAGCCAGGACTGGCAAAAGAGAGAGAGAGAAAACAATCCAAAAATTCATATGGAACAACAAAAGACCTAGAATAGTCAAAGCAATTCTAGGCAAAAAGAAAAAAAAGCAATGCATCACAATACCAGACCTCAAACTGTACTACAGAGCCATATTAACAAAAATAGCTTGTTATTGGCACAAAACTATATAGAAAGATCATAGAATAGATTAGACTAAGACCCAGAAATAAAGTCATATACTTACAGCTATCTGATATTTGATAAGGGAGCCAAATATACACAGTAACTATATAGAAAGATCATAGAATAGATTAGACTAAGACCCAGAAATAAAGTCATATACTTACAGCTATCTGATATTTGATAAGGGAGCCAAATATACACAGTGGGGGAAAAATAGCCTCTTCAACAACTGGTGTTGGGAACACTGGACAGCCATATGCAGAAAACTAAAAGTAGATTCCTGCTTGTCACTATGCACTAATATCAGTTAAAGTTGGACCAAAGACCTCAATGTCTGACCCAAAACTCCAAAACTACAGCAAGAGTGAGTAGGAGAAGCATTAGACTTACAGTCATAGGCAGGAACTACGTGAATAAAGTTCTAGGGTACAATAGAGAGGAGGGATATTAGACAAGTGGAACTACTTAAAAAGTTTCTGCACAGCCAAGGACATAGTTACTAAACTAGAAAGACAGACAACCAACTGGGAAAAGATCTTTACTAGCAATATATCAGAGAAAAGCCTAATATCCAATATATACTGGAACTCAAGAATCTAACCCCTCTCAAACCTAATAAACCAATCACTAAACGGGCAAGGGAGCTAAGGAGAGATATCTCAGACGAAGGAAGAATAGCAAAGAAATACATGAAGAAATGTTCATCATCCCTAGACACAAAAGAAATGCAAATCAAAACAACCTTAGGATTCCACCTCATCCCAATAAGATTGGCCAACATTGTGAACTCAAACCACAACAAATGCTGGTGGGGATGTGGGGGAAAAGGAACCCTACTGCGCTGTTGGTGGGAATGTAACTAGTACAACCACTCTGGAAAGCAGTCTGGAGCTTCTTCAAAAAACTAAACATAGGCCTTACCTATGACCCAGCCATACCACTTCTGGGCATCTACCCTGAACATCATGAGCCAGGATATAATAAGGACACCTGAACATCCATGTTCATTGCTGCACTATTCACAATAGCCAAAATACGGAAACAACCCAGATGCCCTACAATAGATGAGTGGATCCAAGAAATGTGGTACCTATTCACAATGGAATTTTACACAGCCAATAGGAAGAATAAAACAATGTCATTTGCAGGAAAATAGATGGAACTAAAACAAATCATGATAAGGGAGGTAAGCCAAGCTCAGTGAGTCAAACAGCGCATGGTCTCCCTGATATGTGGAAGTTCGATCTAAAACACACAGGGATATGACAATTATACAGGATGCTACATACTCATACACAGTGAGACCAAAAGAAGATAGCTTTAGGAAAGAATCACAAAGGCGTAATACTGAAATGCCTCTTTATATGTATATAAAATAATATACATGCTGAAATGAATTCCAAAGATATGGAAGGAAAGGACTTTTTTCTTAATTTGTTTTTTCTTTTTCAGATGATTCTGTATTCTTAACCTATGTAGGGTGTGTTTGTTCACATGAATATCTGTGGGAGGACACAGAACCCAAGGGAAAAGGGTGAGGAAGTGCAGTAGTGGGGTTCACTGGACACTGATAAAAGCCAACTATACAACTCATGGGTGGAGATGGGAGGGAGGGACTGGGAGAAAGTGAGGGAACAGAAGATACTGTATGAAAAGAAATGCAGTCATTACCTGACTCATGTAGTTCAAGATACTGATTTTTCTTTCCTTTTTTTTGGCAGTACTGGGGTTGAACTCAGGACCTTGAACTTGCTAGACAGGCACTTCACCACCTGACTCACACCCATAGCCTTTTTTGCTTTTCTAATTTTTTTAATAGGGTCTTCCATTTTGTCCGGGCCAAGTTAGACCACTATTCACCTATTTATACTTCCTACTACAACACCATATCTAGCCTTTTATTGGTTGAGATGGTGGTTTCATTAACTTTTTTCCCAGACTAGCTAGCCTTGAATTGCAAGCCTCCTGATTTCAGCTTCCTGAGTAGTTAGGATTAAAAATGTGAAGCTCTACATCCAGCTGATATACTGATTTTTTTCTTTTCCTCTTTATTATTTTTGGTAGAAGTAGCCATTTTTAAAGATGCATCCTCACTTGTCTTCTATCCTTGTTTGTCACCTCATATTTAAGGTTAGCTAAAGTTAGCTAAAAGTGCCAAATGCATGGGTAAAGTTTATGCACCTTATGACTCACTATACAGAGATCTGGCTGTATCATCTAATGTGAAAACTCTGACAACAGAAGCTGAGCACCAGTGGCTCACACTGTAATCCTAGCTACTCAGGAAGCTGAAATCTGAGGAATGCAAGTCAAAGTCAGCCCAGGCAGGAATGTCCACAAATGTCCACAAGACTCTTTTTTTTTGTCTGTTGTGGGGCTTGAACTCTGGGCTTGGGCGCTGTCCCCGCACTCTTCAGCTCAAGGCGAATGCTCTATCCATAGCACCACTTCCAGTTTTCCAGTGGTTTTTAATTGGAAATAAAGAGTCTCAGGCCTTTCCTGCAGAGGCTGGCTTTAAACCCTGATCCTTAGATCTCAGCCTCCTGAGTAGCTAGGATTACAGGTGTGAGCCACCGGCACCCAGCCACAAGACTCTTTACCTCTAATTAACTACCAGAAAACCAGAAGTGGTACTGTGGCTCAAGTGGTAGAGCTGAAGAGCTGAGGTACAGTGCCCAGGCCCAGAGTTTAAAAAAAAATCAAATGAGCCAGGCGCTGGTGGCTCACGCCTGTAATCCTAGCTACTCAGGAGGCTGAGATCTGAGGATCGTGGTTCAAAGCCAGCCCGGGCAGGAGAGACCGTGAGACTCCTATCTCCAATAAACCACCAGAAAACTGGAAGTGGCTGTAGCTCAAGTGGTAGAGCGCTCGCCTTGAGCTGAAGAGCTGAGGGACAGCGCCCAGGCCCAGAGTTCAAGCCCCACGACCAACAAAAAAAAAAAAAATCAAATGCAATACAATCAAGAGACAAAAACTATGTCGACCATTCAAAGAACAAAAAAAAAAATTAATGTAAAGAATCATTAAAGGCTGGGCACTGGTGCCTCACACCTATAATCCTAGCTACTACTCTAGTGGGTAAGATCTAAGGATTGCAGTTTTGAAAGTCCATGAGACTCTTATCTCCAATTAACCACCAGAAAACTAGAAGTGACTCTGTGGCTCAAAGTGTTACAGCACTAGCCTTGAGCAAAAGAGCTTCAGGGACAGTGCCCAGGCCCTGAGTTCAAGGCCCATGACCAACGAGAAAGAGAGAGAGAGGAGACAGGAGAGAGAAACAGAGAGACAGGAGAGAGAGAGGAGAGAGGAGGAGGAAGAAAGAGAGAATGAATCATCAAGTAAAAAGAGAGAATGTATTAAGAAGGGTTGAGCTGGGCTCTGGTGGCTCATACCTGTAATCCTAGCTAATCAGGAAGATGAGATCTGAGGATTGAGGTTTGAAAGCCAACCCAGGTAAGAAAGTTCATGACACTCTTTATCTCCAATTAACCACCAGAAAATCAGAAACAGAGCTGTGGCTCAAATGGTAAAGCACTAGCCTTGAGCAAAAAAGCTCAAGGACAGTGCCCAGGCCAAGTTCAAGCCCCACAACCAATTAAACACACATACACACACACACTCAGAGTTCAAGCCCCATAACCAACACACACACACACACACACACACACACACACACACACACACACCCTCAGAGTTCAAGCCCCACAACCAACAACAACAACAAAAAAAAAAAGAGAAAATTACCTTCTTTTCCTTATTTTTAATTAAGTAGTTGTACAAGGAGGTTTCAATTCCTGGAGTCAGGTCCAATTCTTATTTTGATAAGCGTTTTTATCATGAATATTGATTTATACTATTGTTTTCAGAAAAGGCACTGTGTATCAGAGAATCCTTTCCAGAAAAATATACTCACAAATATCTTGGATCACGGTGTCATGGATCACATACTTTCTGCCACAGTATCTTAACAGTACTCCAAATGTATTAGAACTCTGTCTCCACACCCACATCACAACAGTTTCTCTCCATTACATAATACCAGGTGGCATCTATTTATGCCAATCTGCTATACTGGACTGCTAAATATATATCCCATAGTATCAATTCTTTGAAGGCTCTGATTCCATGTAATTTCTAACTTTATTTTCCCATAAATCTTGCTACATAATTTTGAAGAACATATATTTCAAGAATGCCTAAATGTTGAGTAAAATTGTTCACCTATGTGGCAGAAGAGGATAATAGTCAAGCCAAACATCACTGGAACATAATTTTGGCCTTAAAATTATAGCTACAGATATCTAGCATCTGACAGAAAAACAAAAATGAAAAAGCATGGGTACGTTATCTATTTGTAGGGAATAAAAAACAATCATTTGACAATAATATGTAAGATTCATGTTCTAAAACAACCAAAAACACCTCATATCTTCAATGCTCAACAAAATCAGGAAGGATTTTATAACAGCATTTAATAATGTGATTATATATGGCTTCAAAATGATTACTGATAAGCTATGAGAACAAATGAAGATATAATACTTTCAGAATTGATCACTACTTATGTGTTGAGTAGATCCATACTTACCTTCACATTTTTCAAGAATCTGGACTGTTTCTCCTATTTCTAAAACCAATCCTTGAGGGACAGATCCTCGAAAACTGCATATCACTAGAAAAGTAAGGATAAATATACAATTAGCATTTTTAAATATTCAGGCTCAGAGTCCATTAAACACTAAATTTTCAATATACATATTTTTTATTTTTACTTTTTGGTGGTGGTACCAGGACTTGAACTTAGAGCACCAGGGCTCTTTCCTTTAGCTATATTTTACACTCAAGGCTGAAGCTCTACCACTTAAACCGCACCTCTACTTCCAGCTTTTTAGCAGTTAATTGGGGATAAAAGTCTCATGAATATTTCTTCCCGGACTGGCTTAGAACCCAAATCCTCAGATCTCAGCCTCTAGAGCAGCTAGGAATACAGGCATGAGTCACCAGCACCCAGCATCTCCTTACCCTATCAATCCCTCCTTTGTAATATATCAGCCTCTTTCAATGTATTTTAAAAGGTATATACAGGACAGTGAAGCTCATTATGGCAAAATTAATATTCTTGAGTAGTATGTGCATTATGTATATGTATGAAACATTTCTGTAAACAGACATTTCATGCCCTTCAATAGGACCTATGTTCACTGTGTCCTCTTTGGGCAAGTATGCATCCATTTCTTCAAAAATATTAGAATGGGAGCATTTTAATCTACTATAAATAGACATTCAAAATCAGACATTTGAGTGAGGAGCTAAAAGGATGGACTAGAGAGTTCCTTTGGTTTAGATATAAAGCATTCCACACCCCAAAAGGCTCATGTATCAAAGGTTTGGAAAAGTGACTGCCTCTTTTTGGAAAGTGTCTGGCTCTTCAAGGTTCTGACTTCATCAATAGATTAATCCACTGATGGATTTGTAATTTTGGAAGGTGATGGAAATATTAGGAAGTGAGGCTTGAAGAAAATATGTCTCTTGGGTGGATGTTCCTTTTTTAAGAATGTGTCGGGGCTGGGAAGGTGGCTCAGTGGTAGAGTGCTTGCCTCGCATGCTTGAGGCTCTGGGTTTGATCCCGCAGCACCACATAAGCAGAAAAAGCTGGAAGTGGTCCTGTGGCTCAAGTGGTAGAGTGCTAGCCTTGAGCTGAAGAGCTGAGGGACAGCGCCCAAGCCCAGAGTTCAGGTCCCACGACCAAAAACAAAACAAAACAAAAAAAAAGAATGTGTCTTGTTCTATGGCCCTTCTTCTCAATCTCACTTTCTACTTCCTGGCAGTCATAGTATAAAGCAATGTCCTCTGCCACATGCTTCTACTGCCATAACATTCTGCCTCACCTCAGACCCAAAAGAATAGACCCAGCTGACCTTGACTAAAATTTCTCAAACTGTGAGCTAAAATAGATCCTTTATCCTTTTTTTTTTTTTTTTTTGTCGGTCGTGGGGCTTGAACTCTGGGCCTGGGCGCTGTCCCTCAGCTCTTCAGCTCAAGGCGAGTGCTCTACCACTTGAGCTACAGCGCCACTTCCGGTTTTCTGGTGGTTTATTGGAGATAGGAGTCCGGTCTCTCCTGCCCGGGCTGGCTTTGAACCGCGATCCTCAGATCTCAGCCTCCTGAGTAGCTAGGATTACAGGTGTGAGCCACCAGCGCCCGGCTCCTTTATCCTTTTAAATTGTTTCTCTCAGGTATTTGTCACAGCAATGAAGAGCTAATACCATAGCCTTTGCTAAACTTTGAAACTGAAAAAGTCAAACCCATCAGGGCCTAGTGGTTCATGCCTATAATCTTTGCTACTTGGGAGACAGAGATTGGTTCAAGGCTCACTCAGTCAAAAAATTATTGAGACCCTATTTCAGTTAACAGGTGTAGTGAAGCATGCTAGGATCCCAACTACACAAGAGGCCACAGAAGATCATAGTCTGAAAAAATAACTAAGGCAAAAAAGAGCTGGAGGTGTGGCTCAAATGGTGGCAATCCTAAGGCCCTGAATTCAAACCCTAGTATCAAGCTGGGTGGCAGTGGCTCACATCTAGACACCTAACTACTCAGAAGCTTGAGAAATTAGGATGGAAGTTCAAAGCCTGGGCAAGATAGTTCCTGGGATTCTTATCTCTAATTAACCATTCAAGTGGTTGAGTGCCAGTGTTGAGCAAAAAAGTTCACCCACAGTGCCTAGGCCCTGAGTTCAGGTCCCAGTTCCAGCACAAAAGAAAAAAATATACACTATCAAAATCAAACAAAAGGGGCTGGGAAGATGGCTCAGTGGTAGAGTGCTTGCCTTGCAAGTACCACAAACAAAAAAAGCCGGAAGTGATGCCCTGGCTCAAGTGGAGTGCCAACCTTGAGCTGAAGAGCTGAGAGACAGAGCCCAGACCCAGAGTTCAAGCCACACGACCAACAAAAAATAAATAAATAAATAAATAAAAATGGCCAACGCTTAAAGAAGAACCCATATCCAATGAAGAGAAAGGGAGAACTCTGGTAATTAATTCAGAAGTGACTACAAGCCTAAATCACATGGAGAATTAGGAGAACAAAACAGAGAAAAATGTAAAGCATTTGGTAACTTCAGTATGAGCTTCCCCTGTTGGGGCCAAGGAACTTAAAGATATATCTTATGCACTTTTTGGTATGCCAAGAGCACAATCCACCCCCCTATACTGGCAGTTGACCAGCACTCCTACCATGATGGTTCTTAACCATTTTAGGTTGTTTAGGGATTTGGTCTGACAGTGACTCATCTGCACAAGCTAACACTAGAGATTCGTCCAAGAGCTATACCCATTACCTGACTTATAGGATTGTAACCCCTCTGTGTAACACCATGATGATAACAATAAAATTAAGTTTTAAAATAATTAGAATAAAAATCCAGTGCACTGCTCAGAAGACTATATCCTTCTCCAGAGGAATCCTATTAAGGAATAAACCTCTCTAAAAACCAGAAGGCATTGAATTATCTCAATTCAGTGTCCCTATTGAAATTATGATGAGTTGACTAGGTAAGAGAGGACTACTTGGCTGAAGGGGATATCTGAAACAAACTCACCAAGATATGTGGGCTCTAAAGAGCACAGACTATGATAGAAATAGACTACAAAGTGTAGTGGTGGGTGGTCCGGCTCTCTGTAAATAGGAAACCAATATAACATCAAGAAATAGCCCTATGTGACTGTGCCAAGTGACACAGATTACATGGTTCTCGTAGCATCTTCTCCCACTACAGAACTCAGTGTTTGAAAAGCCCCCCACCCTCTGAGCTTTTCAAAGATATGTTCAGTCTAGACTCATCCTGCTCAAAATTATGTCCAAACAGTGCTTCCCACACACCCCCGAAACACCATCAGAAAAAAAAGGAATCGCTGTGCTCCATATTTTCACTGCACAGCTGGCCAAACAGACCAAGAGCTTCAGGAGACAGTAAACACCCGCCCAGTTCAGTCTAAACACCACCCAAATTAGACAGGCAAGAAGAGCCCAGAATGGCAGCATAGTCATTCACCTCACCTCCAAGTATACATCCAAAAGCCTCCCTTAAGAAAACAAGAACCTGACCACCATTCTCTTAACGGATCCAATAAGAGACAGAAGGGGAAAACTGTATATGGCCCTAACCAGTTTTGACTCCTAGACTTTCACAAGAGACATTCGAAACAGACTACACCAGCTGCACAACTGAGAACAGGTGGACTCTAATGTAGCATTACCCAATCTGAGTTAGGAGGCAAGGAGGAATTTTTAACCAGCTTTTTATCTACTCTCTTTTTCATTTCTTACTTTTCCATACCTTAAAGATACATTAATTTTTTTCCCATTCCTCCCAACCCCCTTTTTTGTGTGTAAAATGGGGTCTATGTGTCTCAGGCCCCACCTGGAACTTACTCAAATAGCTCAAGCGGTCTTGACCTAACAATCCTCTGACCTCCTTCTCCCAAGTACTAAGATCATAGGTATGTGCTGCCATGCCCTACTTTTCCCTCTAATTAGATTTTATCTTGCAAAAGACTGGCCTCTTCTTTCTAATTTTCTCTTATTTTTTTAATCTTCCTTTATTCTCTTTTCCTTTTCTTTTTTACTTCCACTAGTTCTGCCTTTTACTTTTGTAAAAGTATTTTGTGTTGTTTCATAAATATAATGTGCATTGTTTCATCAATTTCTATGAAGACTATAGGACAGACTGAGCTACACAGCAAGTTGAAAATCAACCTTGGCTGATTCACAGTAGTGAAAAACCATCCCAAAAAGGCTTACAAAATAGTTAATTTATAATGAATGAAGCTGGGCACCAGTGGCTCACTCGTGTAATCCTAGCTACTCAGGAGGCTGAGATCTGAGGATCACAGTTCAGCCAGCCCCGAGCAGGAAAAGTCCATGAGACTCATCTCCAATTAAATATCAGAAAACCAGAAGTGGTGCTGTGGCTCAAGTGGTAGAGCACTTGCTGTGAGCTGAAGAGTTCAGAGATATCGCCCAGGCCCAGAGTCCAAGCCCCATGTGTGACAAAATAAAATGAATGGATGTATAAATATTTTGAGAAGAGAATTCATCCAGGGGGCACTTTTCTCATAGACATGTAAGGAAGTGTTCCCTCCTGTTCAGCCATGGAGGCATTCATACATAGGATGCTACAGATGTGGTTCAAGGGAAAATGTTTGACATCCTTATCAAGGAAATATAAATCTGAACTACACTAAGACTGCATCTTAAGTTCATCTAAACAATGGCTATCAGGGCTGGGAAGGTAGGTCAGTGGTAGAGTGGCTTGCCTAGCTTGCATGAGGCCCTGGGTTCCATTCCACAGCACCACATAAACAGAAAAAGCCAGAAGTGGCACTGTGGCTCAAGCCTTAAACTGAAGACCTGAGGGACAGTGACCAGACGCAGAATTCAAGCCCCAAGACAAAAAAAAAAAAAAAAAGCCGGGTGCTGGTGGCTCACGCCTGTCATCCTAGCTACTCAGGAGGCTGAGATCTGAGGATAACAGTTCAAAGCCAGCCTGGGGAGGAAAGTCCGGGAGACTCTTATCTCCAATAAACCACTCAGAAAATCAGAAGTGGGGGGCTGGGAAGGTGGCTCAGTAGTAGAGTGCTTGCCTTGTATGCCTGAGGCCCTGGGTTCAAT